GTAAGGTCCATTATTTTTGTTTTAGGGTCCTGCCCTTCGGCCTCTGTTCAGCCCCTTTTGTTTTCACAAAAATTTTTAGGCCTCTCGTTGCCTACTGGAGGCGGGATAGTATTCACATTGTTGTTTACCTTGATGATGGTTTAGGGGAGGGGCCTTCATATCAGGTTGCTTTAGCCCATTCCACCAGGGTTAAGGCTGATTTGGTTCGTTCTGGCTTTGTACCCAACTTCGAGAAATCTGTTTGGGTTCCTACATCAGTCCTTGATTGGTTGCGTTTCACCATTGATCTTTTTCAGGGTTTGCTTTTTGTTCCGGGGATAAAGCTCAAGCGGGTTGTTTCTGATATTGAGGCTAATTGTTGCACCGCCAGGGAACTGTCCGCTCTTGCTGGTCGTATTAATTCCTTTAACTAGCTGTAGGTAATGTTACTACATTGGTGACAAAGGTTATTCCTATGTCCATCGTCCTTCAGCCTAGTTGGGACTCTAGGTTTCCTTTGTCCGATTCTGTCAAAGAAGAGCTTTTTTTTTCTGGAAAGAGAACGTTCGGTGTTTGAATGGGAGGCCCATTGGGCGTCACATTTCATGTTCTCGTTCCATTGTTTATTCAGATGCTAGTGACCTAGGGGTTGGCGGTGTTGTTTAGACCACCAGGGTGTTATTTGTCATCTTCCGTGGACTGCTAATGAAATGTTTCGCAGCTCCACGTGGCGTGAGCTTAAGGCAGTCTATATTTGTCTCTCTAGTTCTGCCGTAGTTTTGTCAGGGTGCGCAGTTCAATGGTTCACGGATAACCGCAACATTCCGTCCATTATTCGCAACGGGAGTATGAAGCGGGATTTGCACGAAATTTCCCTCTCTATTTTTCAACTAGTTTTGCGAAATGGTATTGATTTGCAGGTGGACTGGATTCCTAGGTCTCTCAATGAGCACGCGGATGCCATAAGTAGGATCGTTGATTTTGATGACTGGGGTGTTTCGTTTGAATTTTTCAACCATGTAGACAACATTTGGGGTCCACATTCCGTAGATCGTTTTGCCCATTCCCATAACTGCAAATTACCCAGATTCTTTTCCCGTTTCTGGAATCTTGACTGGGCGGGGGAGAATAACTGGCTTGTTCCCCCAGTGTCCCTTGTTCCCCGGATTATTAGGCATTTGTTTGTATGTAGGTCTATGGGCACTCTTATTGTCCCCAAGTGGGTCTCAGCTCCATTTTGGCCCATGCTCTTTGGTCCCCATTCCTCCTTTTCCGTTTGCGTTAAGAGACCATTGTTTTTACTAATGTTTCTAATATTTTTGTTCCGGGCTCTACAGAGTCTATTTTTGATGGCCCTAAATTTAAGTCTCATGTATTAGCCGTCCGTTTGTCGGCTTGTTAGCTTTGTTCTTCTAGGCTTAGTTTCCTTTCCGCAGTTACGTGTAGTTACCTTGTTTAGCCTATATAAAATTGTGGTTTATTATTTTGAGTGATTTGTTCTGTTTTTTCTTTTGCCTCGGTGGCATTTATGCGGGTCTCGGTGACCTTGTTTGTACCTTCACTGATCCCGACGGGTCGCACCGTTACATTTTTGTGTGACCTCGGTCAGTTTTTGATCCTTCCAGGTCCCCCATATATATGGTCGAGTGCGCCTCGGTGGTCACTCTCCTATTATCTTATGTACCTGTGTGATAGTTGTATCTACATATTACGCGCGTTTCCTTTTACCGCTCCTTTTTTTCTCGAGCATCTTTCCTTTTTTAAGTCCTTACATTGAATCCATATGGTCTTCTATTTCTTCTGTATTTTCAGATGTTTTCGCTAGCCCTATGTGGGCTGAGCTTAACGATGTCAAAGCTCCCTCCCTACGCTGCTTAGCAGAAAAGCTACCGGAGATAGTCCTTGGTTCCAGGGCAGATTCCACTACTCTCACCTACCTCAACGGTTTTAAGCGATGGCGTGCTTGGGCCAACAGATTTCCCGAGGTCGCAGTGCTGCCTGCTACTCCGGCTTATGTTTCTTTATACTTGCTCAGTGTTCTCCAGGCTTCTAGTTCTCCTGTGCCGGTCCAGAACGCCTTCTATAGCATTCGCTAGGCTCATGATATTGCTGGTTTCGACTCTCCTACCAATCATACACTTCCCCAGAAGGTCGTGGAGTCCGCTAAGAGAAGGCTACTACACCTTACTTCCAAAAAGCTCCCCATTACACCCGAAATTTTACAAAAGTTGTTTCAGAGTCTCGATGGATCTTTGGTGGACACAAGATTCATGGCCATGGCGTTATTGACCTTTGCGGGGTTCTTAAGATTTGATGAACTGGCTAATCTGAAGCTTAAGGATTAAACGCTGCATGACACTCATTTTGAGCTTTTTATAGAAAGCAGTAAAACTGATCAATATCGCGAGGGCGCTATTGTCCCCATTGTCAAGTCTGGCACGGATCTTTGCCCCTGGGGTAATTTAGAGAAGTATTTATCGCAAGCCAAACTCACGTTACCGACTTCTTTCCAAGGTGGAGACGACTATTTGTTCGGAAATATTCAAACTAAGTCTGGCTCTCAGTCCATCCGCCCAGGCTCCAAACTGTCTTATACAAGATGTAGAGAAGTCTTATTGAAGAAGATTGCAGACGTAGGCTTAGATCCTAAGTCTTTCTCTTGGCACAGCTTCAGAAGTAGCGATGCATCTGCCGCCGCTAATGGTGGTATCTCTGATAGAATGTTTAAGTGCCACGGTAGATGGTGTTCGGAAAACGCTAAGGATGGCTACGTTGCGGACTCGTTAGAGAGCCGATTAGCGGTCTCTATGTCTCTTGGACTGTAATTGTTTCCCGTTCTTTGTTTTTCTCAGCAGCTCCTTAGTTCGAGCTGCACACCCATTCCCGTCCCTTAGTCGTGAATATAAATAGGAATAGAAGGATAGCTTGTCACGACTTCTTACATACTTTCGCTCACCATACGTGGCCCACTCCTTTATCGACTCCAATGTTTTTTTATGTGAATTCGGCTTTTCAACTAGATCTTCATCATTTTTTTCTTGACATATAATACATAAACTTAGATCTGCTTTTTGTTCTTTGTCAGGATCAGGGTCGATATCCATCAAAAAAACTCAACGAAAAGACCATCGGTCTTCTCTATTTCAACTGCAAGTTAAAATGGCGGACCTGTATTTTGCTGCAAAAAACCGCTGACCACGAGAGCCTCGTTTTCAAGCTTGTGGTTATTATTTCATCAAATTCTTAGTTTAAGAGCCAATAACCTTAGAAAATAGTTATTATTTCATATGGCTTCATTTTATTATATTGTTTTAGAACACAACACAAGAAAAACTGAGTTTATGAGAAATGTAATTTTTAAATCATTGATGATAGGAGATATAGCCGCGTTTTCATGTCTTTAATCAAGTGATAAAGTGGTACAAGGTTTCAGTCTTTGACGTTAGAAAGTCTATGAAATGTTTCTTCTTCATTATAACTTGCTTTTGTAGTGATATTGTGAAACAAGATACGAAAAAGGGCACATTTTGGATTTAGCCTCGTTTTCATGCTATAGGTCACGTGATCACAATTTCCAGCTAAAAGTGTGTGTAGTGCAAGAGTAAAGCTATTCTTACAATTTGGTGATGAAATATTGACATATAAGAGGGAATAAAGACGATTTAAGATGTAGCCTCGTTTCCATGCTGATATTGTATGAGACGTGTTTTAATCCCCCGCGAATCGTGCCGGTGCGGGTCACAAAGTTGCGGACAACATTTTTCATGTTCACTAAGGTCCCCTCAACATATCTAGACCAGTGGCTTGCTTTAAGCATTAATTTCCCACGGGACTTAATTTTACGACACTTGCTCCCTGACTATTCAGCATCCCTGGGAAATAAGACTTAAAAGAAACCTTCCACTGGAGCTGTTTGATACATTGAAGTCAGCTGTTATTGCCTTTGGTTGGGGACAAGTGTCAAAAAGTACTAGTCACGTGGAGGAATTAGTTATAACAGAGGAGGATGATTTTAAGAATCTCATCTCTCTCTCAGTTGGAGGACACAGAAGTGCTTATTAAAGAAGAAAAAGACGGTGGATACAGTCGAGTAGTGGTCGATACATCCAGGCCAGTAAAGATGAAGTACTCTAAGAAACTAGAAATGTTTACTTTGTTTCTTAGTTATGGCCCTCATTTTACCGCAGTCGATAATCATGACTTATTACTCCCTAATCATGACTCATTGCTCCATAAGGATTCAGTCTTATGACTTTTCAGCATGCAGAGGGCAATTTTTGCCTCTTTATAAGGTCTGTAAGGAAAATATGGTTCCCTCTGATTTTAACTTGTTTATTCCTAACCTCCTTGATAATGTTCCTTAACGAGAGCCAAGTTACTTGTGTATACTGTTGTGCAGAATTTAACACAGTTCAGACTGCCTACCTCTATAAGTAATGGGAAGAGCAGGGGAGGGGCTGCTACATTTATTGGGGGTAAAGAAATCTTTCTTGTTCTTTCGTATTTTGAATTATTTAACTCTGTGGATCAAAATAATGGGGAGGAGAAAGGCATAACTATTTTGGTGCAGAAAAAGTTTTCCGTTTGATTTCCCCATTTACCAGCCCTCTCTACAAACAAATAAGGAGCAGTCTGTAATTGTAAATAAACAAACTAGGTCATGATAACAAACTTTATTGTAAAATCGCTATAAAACAATTTTTTTTTACGTTGTTTTTATTCTTTATTGGTAGCATCGAATAAAAGAAAACATATTTCATCTCTTCCTTTGTTTTAGAAGGTTTAATGTTTATCTTTTCTTCTCTGGCACTATATTTTCTCTGTAAGGTCTGCTTTTCACAGAGCGCTATTTTCCACACTTTTTAAATTCAAAAAAAATATAACAAAGCTGCCCGTTAAAAGTTGCTGTCATCAAAAATTTTAAACAACTTAAGTTAGTCTTTAAGTTGATACATGTCACTACTTCTCCCTTGAAGTGGTAAGAAAATCTGGTCGGGCCCATGGACTAAATCCCCATAAGTTCTTTCAAGTTAACTCAACGGATTGGTTTGAAAAGTTACAGTTGTAATAGGAATGTTTATAAAAGTTGTTTAAAAAGCTACAAAACAACGAAATACATTAGGTTCAAGCACTCTAATAACATTGTATGTTGCGAACAGTAATTAATAAATCCAACTATTTATCGATCTGAGTCAATTAGTATTTGTAGCATTGTTGTTTGGGAAACATATGATGTTTGACAGCTGCCCATGAAAGTTGTAACAATTCATTGCCAATTTCAGTCGCTATATTTTTATCTCCTGCATTTGCAATGTAAGAAGCAACAGTTTCATGAAGTCTATGAAGATACACTAAGCATGTTACAGATTTCATCATCAAGTTCTCCTTTCTGTGCAGATCTAGAAACAGCCTCATAAAGGCTTAAGGAACAGTAAAAACATTTGGCTTCATTTTCATCTAGTTTAAAACCACAATAACAAAACTCAGAGAGATGAGCTTCTTTTGGTACGTACTTATCCTTACGCTTGGCATACCGAAAATGAAACGGGTCAATTTTCCTAAACCAGATATAGCTGATGTACTCATGGCGCATGACTAAGCTCCACCAAGTTGAGAGTGTTGCATGACGTGCAAATGATGACAGAGTTACATGCTTGGCCTCGCGGCCTTTCATACTGTTAATGCCAAGGCCAAATCCAAATTCTCGAAACAATCTCACAGTCCACACTGTAGGGTCAACTGACTTTATAAGAAGGGAACAAGTGTTTAAGAAAAATTGGCAGTGAACCTTAAGTTCTTGATAAATTGCTGCATTAGTTTCAACTCCACTGAATTTTGATACTACATCACGTAATTGCAGGGCAGCAAAAGCAACTTACATAACCGAGCCGCAGGAATTTTTTTTCGTTATCAAATTCCTTGTATGAATTTTTTTTTAGGACATGGCATTAATTTTTTTTGGGGGGGTTTAATTGCCCTGCATGAATTGTTTTCATTTAATTTTCCCTTGCGCGAAAATTTTTTTTGTACTTCGCCCCCCCTATAAGTTTTCTAATGATCCGTCCCTAAGTCTAAGCTATTCAGGCCCCATGTCATTTCCCCTCCTTAGGGAATCAATAAGAAACTTTGTGACAAAAGCACTTGGTTTCTTTACCTGTAAATCTATATTCAAATTTCTTTTTTCTCCCTTTCTTCAGCCATTTTTTTTATTTTCTCATATAGTCCAGATGTACTAACATCATTCTTTATTGAAAGGACAAATTTTTTGAGAGGACTTTCATCAGGCAGGTTTGATAAGTCAACACCCATAACAGGGATGTTGCTTCGTGAAATTGCTTCCTCCAGTAGTATAGAATGAATATACTGCCAAGCATTGTTTGAATTATGTAGTGGTTCTGCAAAAGCAAAGTCTACCAAATGTGCAATGATAGGTTCACATTCTTGCCTAGATTTCTGATCTTTAATAAACTGCGTAAGTTTGCTTCGCTTGGTTGAGGGGGATAGACGTGTGGCATTAAGTTCATTTTCTTTGGCTTTCATCCTGGCTGCCACAGTGAGCCTGTCATTGAGTCAAGTTGAGTTGCATCTCCACAATGCACAGTAGCATTTCGTTTGAGTATGATTGACCGGGTAAAGGTATTGCTAAATACAAGTGTTATTGACAGTGACCGACGTGCCAACCTGTGTGGTAGTCGTCTTCAGAGACAAAGTGAATGCTATCACGTCAATTAATTGTGTTAAACTGTGGTGACTCGCTGTTCACGACACACTCGATCTGTAGAATCAGGTGAAAGAACTCATGGAAAGACACTCTTGATGAAAAAAAAGACAGTTTCTTTGAAACAATGACTGAAGTAGCATGCGCTATGTAGCTGCATTATTCTGGTGGATACGTGTTCACACAAGGGAAGAGATACACATTCCTGTACATTGTTGCAGCTATTCAGAGTCAAGGTGAATTCCTCACGTCTGTTGCTAGGATGAGCAGGTCTTGTATGATGAAATGTTTAGTAGAGCAACCATTACTGTCCAGTAAAGACTGGTTTCCATATAATCCTCCCAGTCGTCTCAAATATTAAATGTTCATACGATCGCAACGATCATATGGAAACGCTACCCAGACGACTGAGACGACCTCGATCGCTTGGTTAGAGTTGAGTTCTATCCGGACAATCATGACAATCCTGTAAACTTTGAAGCGATCATATGGAAACGCTCTCAGACGACTGAAATGATCGAAGGCTATCCCAGAAATCATCACTATTATTCCAGTAATCGAGAATAAATTCGGCGTGGACGCCGCTGAAGTCGAAAAATATAATCCAAAAATGTTCGCATGATGGGCACTTAGAGAAAGTCCGTTACATCAAGTTTTCGACATGATACTATGTCTTCGTGGAACTCTTCTAGCTTGTAGACGCCGCACAATAAAAAGAAAACGCAAACAGCAAGGCACGAGGCGATCGAGACGATCATATGGAAACCACCAATAGTCCCAGTCGTCCGGATCGTCTTCAAAATTTTTTTGAAACGACTGGGGCGATCCGGACGATCATATGGAAACCAGGCTTAACGCTTTTGCTGAAAGTTAATTGAGCATCGATCGAAATTATCCTTTAAAGTCTCGCAAGAAAGTTCTCCATTTAGCAAACGCAAAAGCCACAGTTCCGTATGCCCAGTCCATGGTAGGGGTTAACCCGGGGTAGTTAATCAAATACGATACAATGTTTATAACCTATAGGAAAATTCAGTGTTCTCCCTCCTTGTGTAACTTTCTCAATGTTGCTGTCCTATTTAATCTTTCTTGATGTTAAGAAAATCTTGAAAACTTTCACGATAGACCATTTAACAGTTAGGAGCTTGGTACCCAAGCCCTCGAGTGAACTTGAGGCTGAGGTTGACCTTGTTTTGATAAAAACGTCTTTTCTCTTTTTTCCTTTTCATGCTAAAAAGTTAGCATAAGAATTACATGAATTAACATAATAAAGGAGGAAGGTTTGTATCAAAACAAGGTCAATGGCATCCTCGTTTGCACCCTTAACTATAAAATGGATATTGGCCATTTGAAGATTGTGCGGGAGACTCGTTCTGTGTTATTCTTTAATCCACTATAGGGCTGTGTCTAGGACGCTGTCGCTTTTTATTGGCTACTGAGAAATCGCAAGGTATACTGGGTAAAAAATTCGTTGTCAGAAACAGTCCCACAGTTAGCCTGCTTAGCAAGCGTTTCCAATCGCGTTATTGCGCGAAAGTTGACGAACTCGCGCGGAAACGCTTTCTATGCAGGGTATCCCACAGTACAACTATGTGTGTACAAAACACCTATCCAGTCTTACTCGCAATCTCAAGGTGCCAACTAGCATCTTATATCTAAACCTCCTTAATTTACTCTTAGTGAATTGTTTACGAGTTTGAGGCGTCAAGTATCTGTTATAGCCTGAGAAAACAGCCGACATTTGGCGACACTTGCACTGGTTTCCCCGCCAAATGTCTGAGAAATGAGCGCAGAAATTCTGTACTGATGACGCGTCACTACCCAGATCTGGGTAGTGACACGTCATCAGTATGAAATTTCTGCGCTCGTTTCTTAGACGTCATTTGGCAGGGAAAACCCGTAGTAACGTCGCCAAATGTCGGCAGATTTGTCAGTCTAGTATCTGTTACAGTTATTCAGGAATGTCTTTTTGGTTACGAAAAGCGAATTATTCCGATTTAAACGAACGATTCGCGTGAGCCCGAGGCAAACTGTAGGTTTATTCAAAGTACTTTCGTAAGGCGCACATTATACCTCGAGCTAGTTAGTGCTCATCTTGGCTACGCAACCCAGGTTTGGGCACCCCAAGGCATTGAACTAATTTCTAAACTCGAAAGTATTCAAAGACGTGCCACCAAATTCATTCTTTGCTTGCCTTTTTTAACAAATATCTCTTACAAAGAAAGAGTAATGTCTGTAAACCTACTTCCTGTGTGCTACTGGCACGAGTTACTAGATCTAGTATACTTTTACAAGGCCACGCATAACATGA